ATCTCCACGGGGAGATCGTTCCAGAGGGCCGGAGCAGCCACAGAGAAGGCCCTCCCCCAGGGAGTTGCCAGCCGACACTGGCCGGCAGATGGGATTCGGAGGAGGCCTAGTCTGTGGGATCTAATAGGTCTATGGGAGGTAATTGGCAGGAGGCGGTCTCTCAAGTACCCTCTTTGATGTCCTGTGAGCTGTCATCCCAGTTCAGTTCTGCCATGCATGTGCATGCACCTCCCACCGGCCAGCTGGTCTTCAGGTTTCTGCTGCTCATGCACTTTCCCACAATAGAAAATGCATAGTAGACTAATAGAAAGTGTGGCAGGCCAAAAATCCAACAGAAAAGATGACTGCAGACCTGACACTGTGTGGTGCTTGAGGTGTTCCTTTTTACATAGGGAATGCCAAATTATGCCAAGGAAGAATGGATGGGTCAAGAGAAAATCATGATTGGATGGAGTTCCTGAAATTCTAGAAAGAAAGAAGGTGCCAAAAATCCGTGGATGGAAGGAAGTATAGAAACATTTGTAGAAAAATAGTGAACTGTTTGGGGTAAATTCACATTTTCCTTCCCCATTATTTTTCCTTATCTCATGCCTTTAATTGGTTTGCCAGGCTATTCCCTAACTCCTTTCTGACCTCTACCTAGCATTGCTTACCTCAAAAAGGAATAGCTGGAGAGTAAATGTGTTTGTATAATATTGATTTTCATCCATTCGGACTCTGTTCTCTTTAGCCACGGGAAGTTAGCAGGAAGCGAGTGGAAGAGATGTGTTCAGCTGTCAAATTTCATTCTGACATCCCTGAGTTTAATGGGCTATAAGGAGATGCCTTAAAAATGGCCTGTTGCATCTAGCATTGTCTGTTTTGTACAGTTCAGGCATCACTCCTTGATTTTTTTTCCCAATCCCGAAATATTTCTTCTGTGACATAGGAGATTCAAAATAAAGCTTTGCTTAATTCCCCAGGCTTTGAGCCCCTTCCCCAAAGCAGGTTTTGCTCCCCATTATGCCTATGTCCATAATGGCAAACCTAAGGCATGCGTGCCACAGGTGGCGCAGAGAGCCCTCTCTGTGGGCAAGCCAACCATCAGCCCAGCCCAGCTCAACTGCGCATGCGTGCATGCCTTCCACCGGCCAACTGGTCTTCTGGTCTCTGCCGTGGGCGCTCATGTGGGGGCTGTGCGCATGCATGCATGGAGGGTGGGGTGCATGCCCGTAGGGGGCTCGCATTACATTTTGGGACTTTGCCCAGTGCTC